GCTAGGTGCTAGAAGTACACAGTAGGTTGACTTGGCTGTAACGTGGGGCATGTGGAGCCGGAGGTCATTCGAGTAAGGGCGGGGAGGTGAGCTGTGCCACAGATGAAGGATCTTCTGCAACTGGTCAAAGAACCTGCCTTTAATCCTGGAAGCCAATGGAGGCCTCTGAAGGGTTTTAAGCAGGTAAATGCTGCAGTCAAATTTGGTTCTAAATGAGGAGGATATCTATGAAGATATGGAATGATTCATGGGACATTTTGTTAAGTGAAAAAAACAATGTGCAAAAGACAATCTACAATGTGCTACCTTTTGTAGGTAAAGAAGGGGAAATAAGAAAATATCCATATATCTGCTCAATGATGTGAAAATAAGCAGGAAGAATAAACTAGAAAACATAAGTATGGGGTGGGGAAAAGATGATAAGGAGGGGGATGGGAACAGAGTAAAGGGAACGGGGGAAAGCAAGGCTTCTCTGAAGAAACCTTTTTATATAGTTCTGACTTTTGAAACCATACTAAAAAAGAATCAGTGGGAATGGAGGAAAACCCTACAGTGAAATACAAACAGGAATGTATGGGAGTGGGAAAGAACTAACCTAAGTAACTTTTGAAAATAGTCCTTTGAGGATATGCAGTTGGATGAAGACAGAGGAACTATAAATAAATCTTGAACTCTATTTTTCACAGAGATGTGGCTAGCACTTCCGAAACTACTTTCTGTATATTTTAGGGTTGAGAAAATAAGCACATTGTAGATAATGGAAACAGAGTTTGTTGGAGAAGGGAGTTTAACAATATGGAACGACAGAGTGTATGAGAATGAACTTGGGGTTTTTAACATGAATGCATGGATGGATGGATGGATGGACAGACGGACGGGAAGATAGGTAAATAGCCAGAGATGAGATATGTGTGTACGTGTGAATATATTTCCTAGCTCTGTCCCTGACAGGGCCTAGAAGTAGTGACACCCCAGTAGCAATGAGCATACCTAGTACCCAAACCTTGGTTTCAAAAACCATTCTCCACTAGAAAGAATCAGGGATCTTTGGGAAAATGATTGATTTCAGGACAGTACTGAGGAAGAAAAAGATGATCCTGAAATATTTTGTAGTACCAGAAAATAAAGATGTGATCAGAGAATGATAGGAATATGTCTAAAGAACAAGGAATCACCTTGAATGAGCTTGCTGTGGCCAAATCTGGGACAATTTGAAAATCAAAACAAATAACGATGGTAATGGATTATAAGCCATTGAATAAAGTAAGAGTCCATGAATATAAGTAAATATATATTATATGTAAAATAATACACATTTATACGTATGTATTATATATACTTATATAAACATTTTATATATTTATAGTATATGTAGTATTTATAGTATAAGGTATAGTATAGTAAAAAGAAAGAAAGAAGGGAAAACTCTCCCTCACAGTAGAATCCCAACTAATATAGAAGGGAGGATGGAATTAGAAATTCACTATCATAGTAATAATTAATCCAGGAAAGAATCATCAGTAGGTGCTAAAACTAGTGGGTAAAAGTTTGATGAGTAATTACAAAATTACAGCAAACTGAAGCAGGATGAGATCAAGTTCATAAGTCTATGTTACAGCACAAAGCACCCAAATGCTGTCAGCTGATTGTCGTATTGCTAAGTGGTTGTATTTGCAATAGGATGATAACAATATTTATTTATTGAGTGTCCATTGTGTGATAGGCATTATTCTAGGTGGGGTTTGGGGGGTTTTTTGTTTGTTTTTTGCATATATTAACTCACTCAATCCTAATACTAACTCAGATTTTTTTATTAGTTATTCCCATCTTTAAGATGAGGAAACCAAGATTCAAGAAATGAAAAAAATTGTTTAAAGTCAAATAGTTATAAGAGGCAGAGTCAGGACTCAAATCCCCTGCCTTCTGACTTCAAGTTCTGTGGTGTTCTATCACGTTGTGTGTCTCTGGGTCCTCTTAGAGTTCTGAGCTTCTGAAATGTGCAGAATGATAAGATCAGAGAGGCATTTTTTAAACAAAAGCATTGGGGGGTTCCTTCTTTATCCTCACCATATTTACTAAGCATCTTGCCTCATATTTCCTGTCTAAAAATAGGAAAGGCAATGCTTAATTTACATGGTTGTTATGAGGACTAAATTAGATAATATATGTAAAGCATAGAGCACAGTATAAAATGTGTCTGGCAGCAGTGTTAATACCAGTTGCAACGCTGAATTCCCTTGTATGGTGGAAAATGTTTCTAAGGGTCCTGCTTTGGGACTGAATTGATAATCAAAGGCCAGATCATAAAGAGCTTTGTGTATCATGAAAAGATTCCCTTTTATTCTATAGGCAATAGAAACCACTGAAGAATTTTATTACTGGGAAAGATGTGATTTGGTTGGCAATTTAGAGCAGACCAAGGGGAAGAACACAAAACCCAAGGCAGGCGGACCAGCAGGAGGCTGTTGTCAGAGACCAGGCAGATGAGGGTCTGAGTTAACAAGCCACCTGGCATCGTGGAGAGGAGGGAACACACAATGGACACTCACACTCCCAGACTGGTGCCTGGGTTTGGCAGGAGAGAAAGGGTGAGGAGCTTAGGTTCAGCCTCAGGCCTCTGGCCTGAGTATTGGCTCTTCTTGGGCATGACCAGAATACAGAGGAAGGGCAGGTTGGGGGCATGGAAAGGTGCTGATTCAGGGTAGTTTGGGACAGAGTGGGGAGTCACAGTAGACAGTTGGATATGCAGATCTGGACTGAAGGGAGAGTGCAGGGCTGGAGCAGCATGCCTGGGAGTCATTGAAGCTGTGGAAGTGGATGAGATCCCTGAGGGAAAGGGTGCAATGTGAGGAGAGGGCTGAGGATAGGATTGTGGAAACACCCAGTATTTAACAATGGCAAAAGAAAAAGTGGAATGAGACTGAGGAGGAACACTTACAAAGATAAAAGAGTTTCCGGGGTGGGGGCCGGGGGTTGTTTTCTGCAAAGGCCAAGGCTGCATAGAGAGCAAATAAAGCAAAGAAGGCCTGAAAGGTGCCTGTTGGATTTGACAACTGCGTTACTGGTTTTGACCTTAAAAATAAAACAGCCAGTTATTTTACAGCAAAAATGGGTTTATTTGGGAATAGCAGAGGAATTGCAATTCAGAACAAGCAAGCTATAGCAAATGCCACAGGCAAGTCCAAAAAACAAAGAGGAATGTTATTTTATAGAAAAAAAGGAGGAAGTTGGGAGGGGATGTTTTGAATAAAAGTCCATTGGACAAAAGTGGGAGCTCAGGGTGATGACAGTTACTCATTGGTTGAATTGCTAGGGTAGTAGATTTCTTCTAGGCATGCAATGTACACCTTGTGCCCGTTGGGGCCTGTAATTGATGATTCTTTCCTGTGGATGAGTCTTCTGTTGGGGTCTATAATTGACAGTTCTTCCTGCAATTGACATCAGTATTACTGTGTGAGAGCTTCCCCTTTTGGCCTCCTGCCTCCATCTTAGGTTTTCCTTTATTAAGTTTCACACTGGAAACCTTGGCAAGAGCAGGTGCTAAGAAGCAGAATCCAGTTGGCCAGTGGATTAAGAAGAGAATGACATTTTTTTTCTTTTCTTTTTTTTTTTTTTCCTGTGGCATGTGGAATCCTATTTCTCTGACCAGAGATTGAACCCTCACCCCCTGCAGTGGAAGCACCAAGTCTTAACTACTGGACTGCCAGGGAAGCCCCAAGAATTAGACCTTTCAAGGAGAGAAACTAGAATTTGGATGTTCCCAAAGATGCAGGCATCTCACTCCCTTGCCATGCATTTCCTCCTACCGTTGGAGAGTGCTGACTGATGGAAGGTCTTCCTTACAGAGGATCTCCTTACAGAAGATCTCCCTCCAGCACTTTCAGCTTTAGTTCAGCCCTCCAGGTCCACACCAACCAAGCCTATTTGCCACTGCAGAGAACTGTCCAGATCTGCCACCCCTCCACCATTCCTCATATGCTCCAGACTCCCAGACTTGCCCTCAAGTCTGACTCTCTACGATGGATTCTCTTTTATTAAAACTGGGCTTGTTTTTTGGTAACATTGGTCTTTATTCCTTGTCCTATGAGGTTGATGACTTTTCAACATTTTTTTAACCTCAACCTAGAATAAGAAATACACTTTATATTATGATAGGTGTATACATGTATGTATAACTGAAAGGAGATGCACTCTTATTTTCAATTCCATCTCATTCCGTTGCATTCTATGCTATTGTATTATGTGTTTTTAGAATAGCACACCCCATTAATTTCACAACTCATTAAACTGATTTAATGACTGATGGTAGGACTGATAGAGCCACCATGCTAGGAGGGGCTCAAAGGAAAAGATGCTAAGTTTTTGTCTGAATCCACCCCCTGCCTCCCTCCCTCAGGCTCTCCACAATGGAGCCAGCAGGCCTTCCCTTTGATCATGTTTTTATGGTTCTAAGAGAAAGAAAACTGCTTCAGTCACTAGGATGTTAGCCAGCCTTGAGGGGAGTGGTATTTGAATTTCCAGATTGACTCAATGACTTATAGAAGGAAGGTAAGCAGCTCTAATAGTGGAATTTAGAAATCAGTGGAGGAGAGACTGGCTTACCTTTCAAATCACACCACATGAGCTACTGTCCTGTACTTACTCATGAGACGACACCTACAGCCTGAGGCATTTTCATGACTAGAGGATGCCCTTAGGTGGCCCTACTACCACCTCTCACTAGACGCATTTTAAGTTTTCCAGAGTTTGGGAGTATGGCTACCTCTTCATATAGATCACCTAACCCCCACTCCAGCCAGACAGCTGTCTGGACTTGTGCTGCTCTGGTCTGTATGTCCTCTTCCGAATTCCCTCAGGTGGTTCCCCCCAACCTTGAGAACCATTGCCTCCTATAGAGCTTTCAGCAAAGAACATTGGGTTTTTTTTTTTTCCTTTACAAGAAAAGATGACTTATGTATTCTAACATTCTCATTCCCAATGTCTTTTCTACTCCTGCCCAGGAAAAGCAAGGATTTCTGAATTTACCGTGACTACAGATAGAAGGATGTTGCCTTAGGAATAGCAGAGATCTTCTCTCAGCTGCTAAACAGTGCCCGCTGCTGCCATAGACACTTGGGTCCTCGAGAAATCTCCTGAAGGACTTGTCCATTGTGTACTTGCAATGAGCCAGGCCCTAGGCTGGGCCTTGGCTACAGCCTGGTGAGCAAAACTCTCTCCCTAGCCTCAAACGCGCACACCCAGGAAAGATGAGTGAAGAACGGTGGGTCTCCCTCACTCCAGAAGAATTTGGCCAACTCCAGAAATATGCAGAATGTGAGTAAATGGATTGACGCATGTGGGGTGGGATTTCCTCTTGGTTGGGGAGAGCATTATTGGAGAGCAGAGTAGTATAATCATTGCAAAGCACAGAGAATGAGATCAGCTTATACCTCCTTATAAAAATAGAATTTGTGTCTTTAAACATAAAACACAATTATCTTTATACTCTATAAAGGATACATGCTCTCCCTAGAAATTTGGAATATACAGGGAAGGAAAATAAAAAGTAGGTTAAAAATCACAGCTAAACTCTATGAACATTTTGGATGCATCCTGTGCATATTGCTGTACGGGGTTGAGTTCCTGAATATACCTTTGTTCTTTTCAGTGTGCATTTTTCACCTAGTGTAATATTGTAAGAATTTTCCCAGGTCATCAAAACCTCTTTATAGCAGAACTTTGGAGGGGCTGCCGGCTGCTTGGTTACAATGTTACTCAGTCATTTGCTTTAATATACTCTTGTGTTTGGACCCAATGCCTTCTTTCAGCAAGATACAGAATTCTGATGGGTGTCTCTTTCTCGACTTTGCTGTGGGAAAACCTGGGCTTTTGCGTGGAGCTCTTGGTTTCACTAGTTGCACCCAGGAACAGTTTCAGTGTGTCAAGCCACAGCGGTGGCAAGGCCCGCGGCCGTGCCCCCCGCAGGCCACTCCTAATCCTGACTGGTGACAGGAGTCTGCCCGGGCTGACCGCTGCACTCTGCACACACACAGTGCCCGTCATGGTTGTGCAATGGCACCTATTTTTGCAGAGCCCTTTGTCTGGCAGAGCCCTCAGCTGCACTGCCAACCCCATCTCATTGTTCTAACCCTCTCCCTTCACGTGGATCGTGCTGGTGCTTTTGTAAGTCACTAGGCCTGTAGCGCATTTGACCTGCCCTATAGAGCTTGCCCAGGTGGTCCTCCGAATGCCCTGTAGGCAGCCTGCCCCCCTCCCACAGGGCAGGCAGCCCCTCCACTGGCCTGGGAGCTGGGGGCCGGGCTCGTGCCAGCTCTGGCTCTTGCTCTCTGTGATGTGACAGCCCTAATACCCACCCCACCCTTTAGTCCCCCATCCCCACGGCCGCACGCCCAGCCTCTGTGTCCTCTGAAAGGGTTGCACTAGATGATCTCTCCCCGTGATCCCTCCAGGCCTAACACTCCATGACTACACGTGCTCCCCCTGTAGGGCTACTGGTCCGTCTCTCCTTGGTGACCTGGAGCCCGTGGCCTCTTGTCTGACCGCAGTAGGTTTAGGGAAACTGTGCAGTGTATTGACAGGGAGCAAGGAATCATCCTCCAGGGTAAACTCCATCTAATTCAGCCTACTTCCTAGGTCAGCAAAGTACCAGGCCCTGTCAGGGATGAAAAAGAAGCAGAGAGATAAGGCTTACCTGAGGAATCTGAATCTTGTTAGGGAGTCAGATATGCACTTGTGATACAAGCAGAGAACAGGCTTAAGACAGCGGGGAAACACCTCTGGCAGAGATGGCTACACGGAGTGCACAAATGAGAAGAGAATTTAGAGCTGGGGGAAACTGATATGAGTGGCTTAGAACAACAGAAAGTCTCTCACAGTTCTGGAGGCCAGAAGTCCAAAATCAAGGTATTGGTAAGGTTGGTTCTTTCTGAGGGCTGTGAGGGAAGGGTCTGTGCCAGGCCTTTCTCCTTGGCTTACAGATGACTGTCTTCTGTATCTTCCACACGGTACTCTCTCCCTGTGCACGTGTCTCAGTGTCCAAATTTCCGTTTTTATCAATACATGGACACAGTCTTCTTTTTTCTTTTTTTGTCCTTACTTTTTAAATTTATTTTTTTATTGAAGTATAGTTAATTTACAATGTTGTGTTAATTTCTGCTGTACAGAAAAATGACTCAGTTATACACATATATACATTCTTTTCTGCATTCTTTTCCATTATGGTTTATCCCAGGATGTTGAATATAGTTCCCTGTGCTATACAGTAGGACCTTGTTATTTATCATTCTATATATAACAGTTTGTATCTACTAACCCCAAACTCCCAGTCCATCCCTCCCCCAACCCCCCTTCTCCTTGGCAACCAGAAGTCTGTTCTTAATGTCTGGACACAGTCATTTTGGATTGGACCCACCCTACTCCAGTAAGACCTCATCTTACCAATAATTAATTACCTCTGAAATGACCCTGTTTCCAAATAAGGTCCCACTCTGCGGCGCCGGGGAATTAGGACTTCAACGTATAAATTTGCAGGGGATACAACTTAACTCATAACAGAGGATTTAGCTGGATGAACTCTGTGGAGAAAAGAAGTTTAAAATATGAGTAGTAGAGGGTGGGGGGAGGGATAGAAACTGTGGAAGCAAAGGTAAAGGAGCACAAAGGGCGAAGGTGTCTATGGGGTGGTAAGGAGAGCTTCTGAGCTAGATGGAGAGAAGTGGCAGGAGGGTGGAGAGGAGGACATGGGAGGGATACGGGTAGCCACAGGCCTTGGGCCCCGCATGTCAAGGCATGGCATTGGGACTGAGGTGGCAACATGTAGAGCCATGAACCTGGTGGCTACGTGCAAGGTGGCCTGGATGAGGAAGCGGCCAGGGCAGGGAGGGCAGGCAGGTCCTTTGAATGGAATCTCGTTTGAGCTGAGGCACAGAGCTAAGGTGGGGAATGTGGCAATGAACAAATGCTAATGTGTGGGAAATTGCTGTGGAAGTTCCTCACAACTTGTGGAACGAAAGGAAGCCAGCAAAGATACCTCAAAGCCTGAGAGTCTGTGGAAAGTGAGGACAGAGGGGTCCAAATGTGACAAAGCAGTCAAGGAGGGAGGGGTGGAAAGAAACCCGAGTACTTGGTAGGAAATGGCTCCTCTGTGGTCTTTTTTTCCAACCGTAAGCTTTGTCCTTCTCGGACCCATCCTCATTTTGTCCGTGTCCCAGGACTGGATGAGGTGCTCCGGCACCATTTCTAACAGGAGAGGAAAAGAAGATACAATTCTTGGAAAATGATTAATCCTCAGAGGAAACCCTGAAAAAGGCACGTCTACCAGCTTTAGACGCATTCTGGCATTCAGTCAGATCGCATTGCCATAGCAACCACTCTTCCATAACCACAAAAACAGTAGCTTTACAGTAGCGAAGTAACTGAAGTGTACAGCCTGAGAAGTGAGAACTTTCTCCAGTGCAGTTCCGGGTGGGAGAGGCCAAGAATTTCAGGACAAGAGGCTTTTTGTATGTCCTGTTGAAATGTCATAAACCCTGCCACTTCTCTGGGGAGAAGCCATGTTCAAATACTCTCAGAGATAAAATATATATTTATTATATATCTGTATAATGAACAGTAAACTTAATGTGAGTTAAGACTGTAAAGGGCTTGTCAAAAGGATAATGTGACAATTTAAGAATTTTCTGTTACAAAATAAAAACAAGTGTAAAGTTTTTGAAAAGCGAAAAGATGAAATTAAAGACACTCATGATCCTATCTTCCAGTGAAAACCACAACTAGTATGTTTGTGTATAAATATAAATATCAAACTACACATACACCTACACATATATACATATATATATATTTAAAAAACAAACATGCTAGGCTATTTTGCGTGCTGTTTTCTTCACCCTAACAATATGTTTCAGTTATCTGTCGCTATGTCCAAACAACTTCAAAACTTGATAGGTTGAAACAACCATTTTGGGGGCTTCCCTGGTGGCACAGTGGTTGAGAGTCCACCTGCCGATGCAGCGGACACGGGTTCGTGCCCCGGTCCAGGAAGATCCCACATACTGCGGAGCGGCTGGGCCCGTGAGCCATGGCCGCTGAGCCTGCGCATCCAGAGCCTGTGCTCCGCAACGGGAGAGGCCACAACAGTGAGAGGCCCGTGTACCACAAAAAAAACCCCAAAAACAACCATTTTGGTTTTGTTCCCATGGTTCTGTGGCTCGGGCACCCTGGACAGGGCCCAGCAGGATGACTAGTTCCTGCTCCACAGTGTTTGGGGCTGCAGGTGGGATGCCTCATATGACCCAGCATGGCCTATTCACTCACTCGTTGGTACCTCGGCGCTCCTCTCTGCAGCCTGTTCCTCCAAGTGCTTTCTCATCTCCCAGGGCCTCTCTGTGTGGCCTTTCTTGCCAGCAGGGCAACCTGGACTTTGTACACATGGCTCAGGGCTCCAAGAGCATAAAAGCAGCAGCAGGCCTTTTTAACACCTGGGCTTAGAGGTGCTAGAACATAACTCTCTCCACATTCCATTGGTCAGAGCAGTCACAGGCCTGGCCCAGATTTGATGGGGTGGAGGAATGGACTCCACATCTCATGGGACAGTGACTCACACAGCAGGGAGGAAGGTTGGCAGCAGCCATCTCTGGAGACTAGCTAGCACGCAATATGTCACGAGGTGTTCCCAAATCATCCAGTACTTTTCAGAAGCATGGTTTTTAGTGGTTACGGAGATTTCTTTTGAGTACATGTACATTATTTTATTTAACCAAATCCTCAATTGTGATCTTACGATATATTAATAGACTCATAGTTTCTAGTAAGGCAAACCGATATCCACCTTCTATCCTACCCTGATCAGACCTTTCTAGAGAACTGAATTTATTTCTGGGCACCACAGTTTCCAGTGGATATGGACAAACCAGAACTTGTTTGAGAAGTGCCAGCAGCATGGTGAGGGGCCTCACAGCCTAGATATGAAAAGATGGATGAAAATACTATGCATACTTTCTGGAAAGGGGAAGACTCAGAGAAGGGTGAGAGAGAGCTAGCTGTATTAAAATAGCTACAGTGCTCTTTGGGGGAGAAGGTGTAAAGTTAATTTCTGATGGCTTCAAGAAGTAGCCCTAGGACTAATGGGAGGAAAGCATCAGAAGAAAGACTTTAAAGTAAGGAATACTAATGGTATTAGTATTAGTAATGATTCCTAATGGTTAAACCTGTCCAAGATGGAACAGAATGGACCCCAAAGTGCCTGAGTTTCCTTTCCTTAGAACTGTCTGGGCAGAGTTGGCTGAGACACTAGAGGGGAGGTTAGACATCAG